ACTTTAGCTGTCAACTGGGAACCTCAGAACTTTTGTAGCAACTATTAGTGTCTTCTCCAAAGGGGATTTGTGTTGGAGCTGGGAGCCCATTGGAAGAGGCTGATCTCCAACCTCTGCTATCCTAGCCTGGAATTGAACAAAAACTGGGATGAGAAATGTATCCTTACCAGATATAGGACATCAGGGAAACAGAAAGAATAAAAGGGAGTCATTGATAGAAAAGAACTGGCTTGAAGGATCTTGTGGAGAAGAATGTAGGAGGAGGGAGAAGGACACTGAAGGTCCAAGAGACTTGCTCAGCGTCATAACTGAACAGGTATGGGAGAGCAACAGGAAGCACACAGACTTGCTCCCAGCACAGTGCTGTCTCCTCTGCACCCTTAGTGTGCCTACCCCAGTAGTGGAAGAGAAATGACCTTTTAGAGACAAAGGAAAAATAGCGGACAAAGAGAGAAGTGGACCAGCCAGGTAAAGGTCAAGTGGAATTCAGGTGAGGAACCAACCTGGTTCTCTTGGTTCATGCCCAGTTCACATCACCAGATCCAATTTCCTTTATTTATCATTTTCCCCAATAAGTCTGTCCAACACTGGTCTAGCTGCCAAGGTCTTATGCTTTAGAGATGATCAAATGTCTTCTGTATCCCTCTGCACTGCCACTCTGCCAAAGGACATCCTATCCATTAACCTGAAAGTCTCCGTCAGCCTTAAGATGTTAATAGACCACAGTGCTGGTATTTATGTTAACTTATAGGTGAGCACTTCCTGAGTAGGGACTGTTGGAATATGCCTGCAATGCATGTGAAATCCTGTTATGAGGCAAATAGAGCTTCTATGTACAGTTTTATTCCTAATGACAGTTCCACCATTCACTAGCTGTGCCAACTTAGGTGTTTTACTTAAATTCTTTCTGTCTCAGTTTCCTCACCTGTAAAATGAGGATAAGAAAAGCTTCTGCCTCATGAAGTAGTTGTAGGGTTTAAATGAGTTAATACATAACACATAAAATAGTGTCTGTCCATGTGTTTTCTATTATTAAGGACAACATCAGTTCTTATAAAACATATGTTTTGTATACGAAGAGGCTCTGATTAAAACAGAAGCTTTCCATTAAGTAAGAACATTCTGTTAAGTAAGCACCTCAACATTGTTAGGTTGAGGATAGAAGTGTAAACCCAAGAATGGCTTATGGCCTTTGTGATTGTTCGTAGATTTTAGTGAGTTCTTAGGCTACAGGCATTTTTTTTGTTTTTTTGAACACTGTCATGAAAATAAAAATAATCACTTGAACATAGATATGGTACATTTCCCTTTGCAATTTGCTTCATATCTCATTTAATAACTGTGTATTCCATAAAAATATATTAAGCCCTTACTATATGCTGAGCTCCAGGGGCACATACCCTGACTGGGGAAGTTAGACTCAAGAGGGACTTCCTACAGGAAGTACGATCTGAGCTGAGGTTTGAAGGTGGTGTAGGAGTTGAGAAGGACCCTGGGTCTGGAAAAGAGAAGGTGTTCCAGGCAGAAGGGGTGTCTTGCCAAAGTGCAGAGATGTGAGAGAACATGAGGGGAGTAGAGAAGCTACTAATAATTCAGTCTGGCTGGAATGAAGTGTTGGAGGGTGAGGCGTGGCCACGGGTGTTTTCTTACTTCTCAATGAGAAATAAGAACAGGGTAAGGAAACAAGCAGAGGAGCTCTCACAGAGGGAATTCCCACCATGTGCAGTGTCCCGACCCGCGGGATATTCAACACAGACCCTGGAGGGGGGAGTGGGAATTGGATGGAACAAGAGATGCGAGAGATGGGAGACAAGACAGTATTCTGATCAAGTCTCGTTTATTGATTCTTAGGTTACATCTTATATAGGAAAAAGCAGGCATGCTGCAAAGGGTCTGGAATGTAAAGATATGATAATATCTTGAGGAGAGACAAAGACAGGACATTTAAAGTAAAGGTTGCCGCCCAGAATGTATATGGTTAAACAGTTTCTGGAGAAGGATCAAAGGTCACTTGCAAATTAACTTGCATAGCCAGGAGCAATCAGTTTCTGGCATAAAGATTTCGAGGCAGTTATCATGTAAAGCATGGCCATCTGAGCAGATTGTCATGTAGGAGTTGTCTCACAAGAAGGGGTGTGGGGCTTCAGGTCCCCAACATATCCCCCTTTCTTTTCTTATATGAGAAATGGAAACATAGCCCAACATAATAAGAGCTGTGTCTGGCTTAGGTTGGGATGTTCAATTCTATAACAGCTTACCCGTCATTGGGAATAACTGTAGCTGGACAGATATCCCTGTTTTAGGTTGTTGCAGAATAACATCCTCATTACCTGTCTTTGACAATCCAGCTCTATTTTTTGAAGGGCGAGCAGATCGATGTCGCTCATTAGAGGAATGTTCCATTTCCAGTCATTGATAATGAATTTGAATAGGCTGTACTTGAATAGCCTCTATCTGTTCCTTAATAAAGGCAGTGACCTTATTAAAAAGGAAAGGCCCNCCCTGGCAGACTAGAGCCCTGTGTCAGCTGCTAGTGGAGCCGTGGGGCAGTTTGGGCTCAGAGTGGCTCTCTGACTTGGGGGCTCACACAGCTACTTAGCAGCAGAGGTGGCAGGATACGCACTCCTATTCTGAAAACGTTTATCTGTTATCTGCTTGCTTGACATGCTAAGATGACTGTCCCAGAACTCCCCTGAAGGCAGGAGCTAAGATCAGTCATCTCTGAAGCTCCACACAACACCTGGCATATTTTGTCCATGGTACATGCTCAGGAAATGTGACCTAGTAACACAAGTAAATCCTACTTGTATTTGCAGCTTTCTAACTTGTTTCTCACCCTCTCGGACACCACTGGCTTCATGGAGGGGACAAACCTCACCTTAGTGACCGAATTCCTCCTTATCGCATTCACCCAATGTCCCGAACGGGCGCTCCCTCTCTTCCTCCTGTTTTTGTTTATCTATCTCATCACTTTTTGGGGGAACTTGGGGATGATCATTCTGATCCACATGGATCGCCGGCTCCACACCCCGATGTGCTTCCTCCTGAGACACCTCTCTTTCATTGACATCTGCTACTCGTCTGTCACTGTCCCTCAGATGATGGCGGTATTGCTGGAGCACGGGGCAGCTTTATCCTACACACGCTGTGCAGCTCAGTTCTTCCTGTTCACCTTCTTCGGTGCCATCTACTGCTACCTCCTGGCCCTCATGGCCTACGACCACATAGAACAGAGGCTGGCTGGGGTTTTGTGGCCGGGGCTTACGTGGCTGGCCTCTTCAGCGCCTTGGTGCGGACCGTCTCAACTTTCACCCTCTCCTTCTGTGGAAACAATGAGATCGNGGGGAACTTGGGGATGATCATTCTGATCCACATGGATCGCCGGCTCCACACCCCGATGTGCTTCCTCCTGAGACACCTCTCTTTCATTGACATCTGCTACTCGTCTGTCACTGTCCCTCAGATGATGGCGGTATTGCTGGAGCACGGGGCAGCTTTATCCTACACACGCTGTGCAGCTCAGTTCTTCCTGTTCACCTTCTTCGGTGCCATCTACTGCTACCTCCTGGCCCTCATGGCCTACGACCACATAGAACAGAGGCTGGCTGGGGTTTTGTGGCCGGGGCTTACGTGGCTGGCCTCTTCAGCGCCTTGGTGCGGACCGTCTCAACTTTCACCCTCTCCTTCTGTGGAAACAATGAGATCGACTTCATTTTCTGTGACCTCTCTCCTCTCTTAAAGCTGACCTGTGGGGACAGCTACACCCAGGAAGTGGTCATTATTGTGTTTGCCATCTTTGTTCTCCCTGCCTGCATTGTGGTGATCTTGGTGTCCTACCTGCTTATCATCGTGACTATTATGAGGATCTCCTCGGCTGGAGGCCGGGCCAAGACCTTTTCTACGTTTGCCTCCCACCTCACGGCTGTGTCACTGTTTTTTGGCACCCTCATCTTCATGTACCTGCGAGGTAACTCTGGCCAGTCCTCGGGGGAGGATCGGGTGGTGTCCGTGTTCTACACGACAGTGATCCCCATGTTAAACCCCCTCATCT